AGCCCAGGAGTTGGAGGTTGCTGTGAGCTGTAATGCCATGGCACTCTACCTAGGGGGATAGCTTGAGGCTCTGTCTCAAAAAAAAAAAAAAAAAGATGGAGACTTTACATCTTTGTATTAACCTGGATGGAAGTGGGACATATTCTTAGTAAAGCATCACAAGAATGGAGAAGCAAGAATCCTATGTACTAAATTTTGATATGAGGACAATTAATGACCTAGTATATGGTAGGGGATGGGGAGACCAGAGAGAGAGAAGGAGGGAGGGGGTGGGGGAAAGGAAGAGCAGAGAGAGGAAAGTGGGGAGGGGGTGAGGTCTTGGTGTATGACACACCTTTTGGGGGCAAGACACAAGTATAAGAGGGACTTATACCCTCAATGAATCCCCAACAATTAAAAAAAAAAATGATGGGTAGATTGCTTGAGCTCAGGAGTTTGAGACCCATTCTCTAAAAAAATAGGTATTGTGGTGCGCACTTGTAGTCCCAGCTACTTGGCAGGCTGAGGCAAGAGAATCACTTGAGCCCAAGAGTTTGAGGTTGCTGTGAGATACAACGTCATGGCACTCTATCACTTGAAAAGGAGAAGAAGTACCTCTTCTTTTTTTATGTTATTAGTAGCTAAAGTTTTAAAATTCTGGCTCGGCACCCATAGTGCAGTGGTTACGGTGCCAGCCACATACACCCAGGCTGGCAGGTTCGAACCTGGCCCGGGCCAGCTAAACAACAAGAACTGCAACAAAAAATAGCTGGGCATTGTGGACACCTGGAGTCCCAGCTACTCAGGAGGCTGAGGCAAGAGAATCACTTAAGCCCAGGAATTTGAGGTTGCTATGAGCTGTGACGTCATAGCACTCTACTGAGGGTGACATAGTGAGACTCTATCTCAAAATAAATAAATAAATAAAATAAAGGTTAAAATTTCTATATTTAGCTTCAATAGAGATAATATACACACTTTTTTTTTTTTTTTTGAGACAGAGTCTCATTATGTCGCCCTCGGTAGAGTGGCGTCACAGCTCACAGCAATCTCAAATTCCTGGTCTTGAGTGATTCTCTTGTCTTAGCCTCCTGAGTACCTGGGACTACAGGC